ATAGATGATAGTAAAGCTATTAGTACACCAATCGGGACAAGTGGAAGCTTGGATAGTGATGCTAGTGATAACATGGTGGATCAAAACTTGTATCGGTTTATGATTGGAAGCCTACTCTATGTGACCGCATCAAGGCCGGATATGATGTTTAGTGTATGCATGTGTGCTAGATTTCAAGCCTCACCAAGAGATAGTCATTTGAAGGCAACAAAGAGAATATTGAGGTACTTGAAGCATACACAAAATGTTGGATTGTGGTATCCCAAAGGAGCAAGATTTGAGTTGATTAGATATTCGGACTCCGATTATGCGGGATACAAAGTTGAGAGAAAGAGCACATCGGACACATGTCAACTATTGGGAAGATCACTTGTGTCTTGGTCATCAAAGAAGCAAAATAGTGTAGCACTTTCAACCACCGAAGCGGAGTACATCTCGGGCGGTAGTTGTTGTGCTCAATTACTTTGGATGAAGGCTACTTTGAGTGACTTTGGAATCAAATTCAAGCAAGTGCCATTGCTATGTGACAATGAAAGTGCCGTAAAGCTCACCAACAACCCGGTTCAATATTCAAGAACAAAGCATATTGATGTCCGCCATCATTTCATAAGAGATCACCAACAAAAAGGGGACATATGCATTGAGAGTGTGGACACCGAAGATCAACTTGCTGATATCTTCACCAAGCCACTTAATGAGAAGAGATTTTGTAAGCTAAGGATTGAATTGAACATACTTGACTTCTTCAATATGTGTTGATGCACCCCCAATTATATGACATGCCTCTCCTTCGAGCAATCCAAGGTAAAAGTTGATTGGCATGGCATACATCCTTGCTAAGGACATGGTTAGTGCATCTAGACATATTTCACATTTGAATAGACTCATTCATGAAAATCAAGTGAATTTGATGCTTGTATGGTACCACTATTGCTTGTATGTTTGAAATGATCTAGTGGTAGCATATGACATGTTTGTGGACTTGTAAACCTAGTGTTTGATCTATAAAATGAGTTATAAGTGTTTAACTCAACATGGTATAAGATAACCCTTATTTGGAGGTGTGAAGAAGCTTGTCCTTAAATCAAACCGAGTTAAATAACTTTTGCAAGTAATCTAGATTGAACCAATTTGGGAAAATAATCCTCACTTCACATGGTTTCACCCCAACCTATCTAAAAGTTGAGCACTCTTTTTGTGCTAATTGTTGACAAAGGAGGAGAGAAATTCACAAAGATAGTAAGATAGGGGGAGCAAACAAATGACATGACATTGTAAGGGGATCAATTAAAATTGCACACAAGTAGGGGGAGCAAGCTCATAAACTTGTATGTTGCATTTGAATGTGTATTTCATATATTTGCTTGCATGGTACAAGTTCTTAATTTCAATATCCATGCTTGTGTGGTGTATGCTAGTTGTAGGTTTGAATGTTGAAATGAAAAACTAGCATGCATAGGCTAAAGTAACTAGACTTATGTTCATTCTATGGAAACTAGACCCTTGCTTGTAATATTGATCTCATGGGGTATTCTAGTTTTTGTGTATGTCTAGTTAGTAATGATGCTAAGGATGGTATATTGGTGCACTCCGATTGGTATCACGCTTCAAAGGTCCATCTCTTATACCTTAGCATCATTTGGTAGAAAATGTCTCCTATATTTTCTATCTAAGCATATGTGGAAGCTTCAATCCAAACTATTAGCACATATGTAGGGGGAGCAATTGCTACAATTTGGAGTTCATGAAACTTGTCCATATTCTTTTACACATGGTAAATATGCTTGTGCAAGCAACATGGATTTAATTAAATTTCAATTCATATCTTTGTGTAAGGGTTGTCATCAATTACCAAAAAGGAGGAGATTGAAAGCTCTAGTTTGGTTTTGGTTAATTAATGAAACCTTAAGTGCTAACCTAGTTTATCAAAGTGATTATGAGATAGGTAGCACTACTCCAAGTGATGAAGCAATGGTGAAGATCATGATGATGGTGATGGCATGGTGATGATCAAATGCTTGAACTTGGAAAAGAAAAAAGAGAAAAATAAAAGGTTTAAGGCAAAGGTATAAATAGTAGGAGCCATTTTATTTTAGTGATAGAGACACTTAGTGAGTGTGATCACATTTAGGATCGATAGCCGTACTATTAAGAGGAGTGAAACTCGTATCGAAATACGGTTATCAAAGTGCCACTAGATGCTCTAACTTATTGCATATGCATTTAGGATATAGTGGAGTGCTAACACCCTTAAAAATATTTATGAAAAATATGCTAACACATGTGCACAAGGTGATACACTTGGTGGTTGGCACATTTGAGTAAGGGTTAGTAGCTTCACCGGCGGAGTGTTCGCCCGTAGAGTGCGGACAGTCCGACGGTGCCACTGGACGCTGGTCTCGGCTAGACCGGCTCGTCCGGTCAGTGGCAGCAGAGGGCGCATGTTTCGGTTTTCGACCGGACGCTGGCTCTAAAAGTGACCGGACGCTGGCAGGGTGCGTCCGGTCAGTGCTGACGTATGCTGACGTGGGGCGCACAGAGGAGACATTGAGTGACCAGATGCTGAGTGAGTCTGGTCGAGCATGACCGGACGCGTCCGGTCGTGAAATCTCGCGTTTGGAACCTTACTGGAAACAACCGGACGCTGGGATCCAGCATCCGGTCACTTTCTAACTGACGCGTCCGGTCATCACTTGACCGTTGAGATCGAGCAATCAGCGTTTGAAGCAGGGGACACGTGGCGAAGATCTGAGGATCGGACGCTGAGGTCCAGCGTCCGGTCAATCTAACCGGAGCGTCCGGTCGGCCCATGTTCAGTGCAGTGAATAGCCCAACGGCTCTATTTCGTGGAGGCTTCTATTTAAGCCCCATGACCGGCTCAAGCTCACTCTCTTGGTCATTTTCATTGACATAGCAACCTTGTGAGCTTAACCAAAGTCCTTCCACTCATCTACATCATTGATTCATCATCTTTGTGAGATTGGGAGAGAATCCAAGTGCATTGCTTGAGTGATTGCATCTAGAGGCACTTGGTATTCGTGTTTCACTGCGGGATTCTCTTGTTGCTCTTGGTGGTTGCCACCACCTAGACGGTTTAGTGCAGCGGTGGAAGATTGGCACGAGTTGGTGATTGTTCGTGGCCATCTCCGGTGATTGTGAGGGGATTTGTATCTTCCCCAGCGGAGCGCCGAAAGGTAACTCTAGTGGATTGCTCGTGTCATTGAGTTACCTCACTTGCGGGTAGGTTCTTGCGGTGTCCATTCGTGTGGATGAGGTTTGTGCAACACCTCTTAGCCACCGAACCACCAAGTGTTGGTCGACACAACGGGGACGTAGTGTGTTGGCAAGCACGTGAACCTCGAGAGAAAATCGGTTGTCTCTTGCCATTTGGTATTCTCCCGGTGATTGGTTTAATATCCATCTTGTGATTGGTTCACTTCTCTACACGGCGGTATAATCATCCTACTCACTCATTTATATTCTTGCAAAATAGTTGTGGCAAGCTCTTTAGTGTAATTAGAATTGAGAGCTTGCTTTGCTAATTAAGTTCTAGTGGAGCTCTTTAGAGTAACAAGGTTGAAAGCTCTTAGTGAGTAGTATCATAGTAAGTTGTGTGACTAGCAATCATTGCAACTAGAATTGTTGGATAGGTGGCTTGCAACCCTTGTAGAGCTAGAGCAAGTTTGCATTTCGCTATTTGTCATACTAATCTATTTGCTCTAGTTGATTTGTAGATTTTTAAATAGGCTATTCACCCCCCTTTAGTCATATTAGGACCTTTCACCGTCCTCAAATGGCACGACCTAAGTTCCAGCTCTAGATATTCGGATCGGAACCGGATAGGACACAGACACATGAGCTCCAAATGAAGGATGATTTGTATTGGATTCGGAGAGGAGCCTCGACGCGGGCACAAAAGTACGGTACGGCCGCGACGCCCTCGCTGTCTTCAACTGCAGGAGGAGGTGTCGAGGAGGACGCCGGCGCCGGCTCTGGCGATGAGGAGGACAGCGGCAGCGCGACTCCAGTGGGCGGAGCCTAAGCGTCATGGAGGCGGGGGGAGAGCTTGGGGCGGAGGAAGTGGAGGTGGTCGCTGAGAAGGCGAAAGTCAGGAAATCCATGGTGGCCATGTGAGTTGGACATGTCGCTATCGTTTTTTTTTGAAACCGTGAAAGAACGAAGGTAAAGGAACAAGCTTGTTGGGCTGTTAGTGTAGTAGCGCAGGGCCCAAAAAGCGTCGTCAGGCAGACCAAGGCTTTACTCCTGGTGATGCCTGGTGTCATTTAAATTTACAAAGCTTCACGTACTGCCTCCGTCTTAGAAAACTTAACTTGATGTTTTAGGATTCAAAAAAATATATCCCCAAAAACTTATGTTTTAACTTTTGGACAACAAATTGGGCCCATATCAACTTGAAATTGTGATCTGCATGACTCCATGCATTCCTTTTTAATGAGAAGCTTATTGCTTAATTGGTATGATTCACCTTCAATAAATAAGAGTAGTTGAGCACTAATTTGTCCTAAAAATCCCAAAACATTAAGTTTTTTTTTAGGACGAAAGGAGTGGTATACATGCAAAAACCTTGTCCAATATGTTTGTGCTTGTCCAACAAAGTAAGCACACCGGCTACCTGATAAAAATTCAAAGGTCTTGTTACTTTATATTAGCTTCCACAAAGATTCCAGGCACCAACTTAGCCACTGTCGTTACCAGCTAAAGACAGCCAAGCCTTCAGACAGGACAAGCACACTTTTTTGCGCCAACTCCCCAGTCAGAGAATCTTTCAAAACATTCAAATACACGATTCAGAACATTTGCTGATGCCATGAAGAACCCAAGGCATCCAAATGCATTTGTGAAAATCCAAATGCATTTCCACATTGGCATAATCAGCGAGGGCGCTAATTTATACAGTTTTCTTATGGCGCAACGACAAACAAGAATCTATCGAGAATGAGCACTCAATGTACAGCTCTAACGTTGAGAGGAAAAAAAAACTATGTGGGTACAACCTCACCAAGTGGGGGAGATGAATCATCAGGCAACTCGGTGTTCTCTGCTGGTGCTTGGCTCTTGTCATCATCATCCTGGAAACCTTGCTTAAACAGGTCGTAGTTGGTTGGCTCCAGTGCCTTGAATGGACGTTCTCCTAGTACCCTGGTTAGATCGTCCTGGTGTAGGACTTCCTTCTCAAGCAGCAATTCTGCAATTTGCGCAACTTGCTCCTTATGCTCTGTTATCAATTCAACTGTTTTCTTATAGGCCATGCCAACCCATTCCCGGACCTCATCATCGATGATGGATGCCGTCTGATTACTGTAAGGCTTGGTCATTTCAAAACCATCATCCCTCTGAGGGAAGGATAGAAGCCCAACCTTTTCACTAAAACCATACACGGCGACCTGTGCATATGTCATTTTGGTAACTTTCTCCAAGTCATTCTGAGCACCAGTTGAGATTTTGCCAATCAAAACCTGAAACAAAGCTCAATTAGCGCCTTTCAACAATATGCTTATAACAATTTCTGGTGATAATACTGTGAAATAAACGGATATCCCAACATAAGACATTAGAACACAGGGAACTGATTATTATTTCTACGGTGTCTTGAAGTAATAACTTGAGAATACAATATTTAGATGGCGACCAATTTGATAAATGTAATGGTATCGATGTGTTTATCACATGGGCAGAGGAGATAATGGAAAATATTATCGTCTTCTGGTCCCCTTAAAATGCAATCAGAAGTTACCAAATGAATTATATTTTTTCTACTAAATTGACAACTATGACCATATTCACATGATCTGGTCATAATTTAAGTGGCGACAATATCAACGAAGCAGGCTACAATTATTGTCCTTGTCGAATGTAGGGAGTTCAAAATAACAGCTGATTCACTCTATTCAAACATTATAATGGCTTGAATTGGTTAGTATAGATTTAACAGTATAAGAGAAACATCCATGAATCCTGGCTATTTATCATAATAAAGCATCAGCAAAAATAAGATATGAATAAAGAAAACTGTACCTCCTCTGCAGCTCGGCCACCTAATGTCATGCATGTCATATCAAAAAGCTGCTCTTTTGTCATCAAAAGATTTTCATTTGGGACATACTGTGCAAAGCCTAAAGCAGCTGTTCCACGAGGAACAATTGTAACTTTCAGAAGAGGCTCTGCATGCTCCAAGAACCATCCAGCAACGGCATGTCCAGATTCATGGTAAGCAACGGTACGACGCTCCAGTTTGCTAATGACCTGCAAAAAGGGTTAACATGCTCAGAGGACAGAATAAGGAATAAAAGTAATTACATGCACAAAAAGAATGACATTACATAGAAAAAGAAGGCTGCCAAGTTAATTAGGATCCAAAAGTAAGACATTGAAACAAATCTCACAAATCAGCTTCATAGGTTATACTACTGATCTCTTACCCTATTTTTCTTCTCCAAACCACCAATAATCCTATCAATCGCAGACTCAAAATGCTGCATGGTAATCTGAGTTTCCTCATGTCTCGCAGCAATTAAAGCAGCTTCATTACAAACATTGGCAATGTCAGCTCCTGCAAACCCAGGTGTCAAGGCAGCTAGCCTTTGTGAATAAAATGATGGTTCGTTGTCCAGCTTAAGCTTTTTAAGATATATGCGGAATATTTGGTCACGACCCTTTATATCTGGCTTGTCAATTGTTATCTGGCGATCAAATCTTCCTGGCCTTAATAATGCCTTATCGAGGATGTCAGGTCTATTTGTCCCAGCAAGAACAACAACACCAGCAGTTGTTCCAAATCCATCCATCTCTACAAGCAGCTGGTTCAAAGTACTCTCACGTTCATCATTTGAACCTGAAAAACCTCCACGTCCTCTTGCACGACCAATAGCATCGATTTCGTCAATGAATACAATACTAGGAGCACACTGCCTAGCTTCTTGGAACAAGTTTCGTACCCTGGACGGTCCAACACCAACAAACATTTCCATGAAATCTGAACCAGAAATAGACAAAAATGGCACACCAGACTCTCCTGCTGTAGCCTTGGCAAGCAAAGTCTTCCCTGTCCCAGGAGGGCCTACAAGTAAAGCACCTTTGGGTATTTTAGCTCCCAAATCTTCATACTTCTTGGGGTTTTGAGGAAATGCACAAACTCCATTATTTCTTGTTTTGCTTCGTCACAACCGCTACATCCTTAAAGAACACCTGGACCAACAGAAAAGTAAGCATTAGTGAAAAGACACATCTAGGAATTTCTTGTAGCTTGCTTTGTTTCTTAAGGAAGGGTAAATAAAGCTACCACAACATTAAGCAATTGGAGTTATCAGAGGTCAAGAATTAGCCTGTGCATGAAAAATCATTTTGGGCAAGATTGTTTTTATCATATATCAAAAATAGAACCAAGTGAAACAGTAAAATGAGTGACGTAAGAAAAGAAATAACAAACCTTATTTTTGGAGTTCTTGTCCATCTTCGTCACTGTAGCTTTTCCAATGTTGAAAATACCTCCTCTTCCTTTGCCAGGACCACCTCCAATATTGAAACCACTCTGCATCCTTTTTCCCATAAAATATATCAGACCAACAAGAAATGCTGTTGGGGCGAACCTCATAACTTCTTGGAACCAATTTACTTCAGCAACATAAGTTACTGGGACAAAATCATGTGGATCTATTCCCAAAGCTTCCTGGGCTTCCTCTAACTTCTCTTCAAACGAATCAACACTACCAATATTGAAGTAATACTTGCATCTGCTGGGAGCAGGCTTGCCTGGAACATCAGTGGTAGAAATATGGGTATCACTATTTTGGCCTTGGCTCTTTGGATGAGGTGAATTCCTGATGTAGACCTTCGCTACTGATTTATTTGAAACAACAATGCGATCAACTAAACCAGGTTCTAGTAACTTGTTCTTGAACTCTTGGAAGCTTATCTGCAGATGTTTGATACAAAAGATACTGTAATGAACCATTATACTAGTATGCACACTTAGAAGGGAATGCATATGCTTACATGAAACGATATTGTTTGACAGTTTTCAGTTACATAAAACAATGAATTCCCAATATTGCATTCACACTCAAAGGCTAGGAAAGAAAACTTCAAGCACAAAGCAAATGGTAGCAAACTAACAATTCCCCCATGCATCGGCACAAGAGGATCAATGAAAAGATTTTCAATTTAGGCCGGTAAATTACACAAAGGTTATTCTGCAATAGTGTATTGTCTCTAAGGTCTTTGTCTCTTACAGTCCTACTCCTTGGCGTTTCTCGTAGCTTATTATTAATCCTGGAAATTTGACTGGAGATGACAGGGGCAGAGAGTTAAATACAGTGACTAGCCTTTTAAAGCCTATATGGTGGTGTAGTCTTTTTCGTCCATTTCTTTGAAGTTTGACAAACAAATTATGCAAGTGTGAACAGATCAAACATACATATATTACCAGTTCTTAGGGGACTAAACATAGCCCAACAAACATAGCTTACCAGAAAAGGAACAAATCAAACTATCGACTTGCAGAACTATTCCCAGCAGAGTTAACAAAGTAGAAAGTAATCACCTCCTTCTGGTCTGCGGTGCTAGATGACATGGATGATAGCATCAGGCCAAGAATCAATAGAGGTGCAAGGAAATTCTGCAGGTGTTTCATAGCGTTCTCCTGGAAATTCCATCCTTCCTCTGTATTGGATTCCTCTGAGCACCACAAGATTGCATTTCATTAAAAGTGAAATAGTAAGCACTGATGTCACAAAGCTACACATCGAAGCACAGCATGCATAAATCATTATACATTTCTACACCAAGAGCTATTCATAAATTATATAACTGGTATACAATTCACCAAAGCAGTTGCAGCAAAAAGTAAATCAACAAATCACATGTTAGTTGTCCATCTTGTTAGTCAAATACATGCACCAATTCTATTTACTATGGGCGCATGAAAAGCTATGATATTTGCATCCATAACATGGCTTATGGCTACCCTCCTCTACACAAACAAGTGAAGCACGAGGGAAACTTACGCTTCGATTCAGACTTGTTACTTCCATCTCCTTTCGGCACCTCCTTCTTACCCTTCGGGTAGTAGTTCTCGTAGTCTAAAATCAGAAAAGGAGCACCCTTTCAGAACCAGAGCCACCAAACCCATTGAAAATAATCTCATCAAAACGAGGAACGTACTCTTCTTGGACTCGTCCGAGAAGAGGCGTCGGAACTGTGGGCTGGCGAGGATGTATCTCCAATCCACAGTCTTGCCCGCAGCGGGCTTCCCAAGAGCTGCCGACGAGGCCGCAGTCAGGTAACTGCGGACAAATCCTATCGCCCCGCCCTCACCGCCGTGGACAGGCGACGGTAGCGGCGGCGCGGGCGGCTGCCGGAGGCCCCCGAGCTGGAAACCCTAAAAGGAACAGCGGAAGGTCAGACCTCCGTTCCCCACCGGAGCGCGGCGGATGAGCGCGAGAGGATAGAGGGCAAGGGAGGAGGGATAAGAGGGGGGAGACTCACCTGGCGCGGCCGGGAGGAGCGCGCGGACCGGCCGAGGGCGCGAGCGAGGGAGGCGAGCGTCATGTCGGCCGCGGCGGCGCCGTGCGCATGAGAGGGCGGAGGGGCCGGGCCGTCCGGATCCAAGCGAGGGGAGGAAGGCGGGTCGCGTCGAGGTCGAACCACTAGAGATGCGTTCTGAGATTTTTCTGGCTCTGTTGTGATGAGGAGAAGGGAACGCCGCGGCGGCGAGTGGCCGTGGGGGGGAAATAGCCGAGACGGCGCGGCGCGTCCGTGGTTTCGGGCTCGGGCGGGCAGGCGGCGCTCACGGGATTGGGTGATTTTGGAGATGCCGTTGCGTGGTTTCCACCGCGTTTACGGCAGCAGAAGGGGTGGAATTTCAGTTCGCGTTGAGGGGCTGCAGTCCGCTAGAACCGAGTCCGGGTTGGGAATTTGCCAATTTGGGGTGTGCTGGTCTGGCATCGGTGACGGGCTAAATTTGATTTGAATTTACAATTCTCGTTCGCAATTCCCGTCATCTCATAAAATTGGTGACAGGCTAAATTTGATTCGAATTTGTTTTGCTACAGTTGCTCAAGGAAGAATTATAAATAAAAATGTTGTTCAGAAGAGTACGGGACGGTAGGCATGGTCAGGCTTGTAACACGGGGACGGCAAAGTTGTGAGGTCAAAACGGCGTTCGGTTGGCTAATCGCCGTCCACGACTATTTGCTCCCCACATCAGTCTTGTTTCCCAAGAAAGGGAGAAACGCTGATGGATTTCTTAAAGCAGAAAAGAGAAACTCGGTCGAGGTTGGTGGCTGCTGGGTACTCGGGATTCGGGAAGCTGGTTCGCAACTTGCAGAGAAGTGGGAAGCAGCGTCTTATTCGTTTGGGTTTGTTTAGCTGATAAGTCATGGCTGAAAGTATTGTTGACTGATTTAGTGTGAGAGAAAAATATTATTCGTTAGCTAATAAGTCATGGCTTATAAGCTAAATACGACCAAACGAACAGGCTGCAGGTGTTCAGCACATGTACCCTTTGGCCTGTGTAGAGTACCACCAACACCACACATGCTAACACACGGTCTATTTGGAGCTGTTTCTCCCTGGCTTAAAATAAAAATAAAAAAGCCCACGAACGGCGCAATTTGAAGGTAACTTCTTCTCCTTGCGTCCTTTGACGTGGAAGCGGTGGCCACTCGCTATGGGAGAAATCCTCAAGATTCTTCTTCCTCCTTCCCTCCCATGCCTCGTTGGTTCTCACGCCTCCTCCTTGCCGTGGTAGATCCAGCCGAGCTGGAGGATTGGCTCCTCGAGGTGGACGAGACTAGGAGAGGGGTCGTCGACGCCCCCGCGCCCTTTTCATCCTCCCCCTCCCCCTCTTTGCAGTAGATCCACCAGAGTGATTGAGATCAGACGAGGGCACCCTAGGGACGGGGTGCCAGCGGCCCTGCGCCCTCTTCCTCCCTGCCGACGCTCGAGGAAGAAGACCATGCCTGCTGCCATTGGTAGCGGTCCCCGAGTTCTTCTCGCTATAATCGGTCCGCCAAAAGGTAAGATTCTTATCTATGGAATTATTATGGAAGCTAGCAGCGGGGAGAAAGCTAGCTTTGATTCAAAGCGTGATTCAAATAAGTTGTCCCATATAGGACCATAGTTGTTTGAAGAAAAAACAAAGTTACACATAAGCAAGGAAGGCTCGGGCTCTTAGGCCAACACCAACGCTAGGACACAATAAGGGGGTGTTTGGTTTCTTCTCTTAAACTTTAGTCGCTGTCCCATCGGATGTTTGGACACATGTATGAAGTATTAAATATAGACTAATTACGAAACTAATTGCACAGCTGGTGACTAATTTACGAGACGAATCTTTTAAGCCTAATTAGTCAATGATTTAACAATATAGTGCTACAGTAAACATGTGCTAATGATGGATTAATTAGGCTTAATAAATTCGTCTCGTGGAGTACTGACAGATTCTGTTATTTATTTTTTTATTAGTATCCGAACACCCTATGCGACACCTTCACGTGACACATCCTAAATTTTAGTCACCGGATCCCAACACCCCCTTAGCCTCCAGATGCAGATTACAGATCCAATTTTAATGAAGGTCCCACAACTTTGGCCTCCAACTAAAAAGTCACTTTTGAACACCATAGATCATCTTCAATAGCTTTTTTTTTAAAATTTACTGTCTAAGTTATCATTTGGAGAATCATTTGAATAAGAGAATTGCTATCTCTCAACCTGTTGTTTTGGCTCCCTCTAGCAGCCGAAGTAGTGCCCATCGATCTCCCTCTCTCTGGCTAGTGATCTGCCTGTGCGCGCTCGGCTTGGGTGCGCGATGGGTGGGGGCCAGAGGTGGGCTGGTCAAGCGGTGCCGCTAGGGGGGCAACGGCGGCAGATCGACCGGCGCCGGAGTGGGAAGCAGGCGGCGGCAGATCAACCGGCGCCAGAGTGGGAAGCGGGCGGCGCGGTGGGTGGGGCCCGAAGGCAAGAGGGTCGAGCTGCGAGTGGGGGCCGGCGACGGCAGATCGACCGATGTCGGAGTGGACAAAAGCGGGCGGCGGCTAGTCGAGCGGCGCAGCCTCTGTCGCGGCCACGCGGCTTGTTTTTCGCTAGCGTTCAGGCAAGGGATAAGGTTAGGGGAGGGTGGGTCCCACCACATTTTGTGAACAATTTGTAATTTGTTCTGAAATTTGTGAATAATTTGTGAACAATTTGACATATATTTCTCTGACATCTAGAATTCATAGAAACAATTTGTAAATTTTTTATGAAAAATTAGCATATATTTGTGTTATCCCCAAATTATATGACTCTGTCAAATAAATTACACTGATGAAATCATTGTAAATATAGTAATAAGATAGTGTAATATAGCTAAAAGATAGCGTAAATACATGGACAAAATTCAGTTATTCGGGGGAGTTAAAACAACTATATGTCACCGAGACAAATCCTTGAATAAAAAACATGTTCTCTATATTTTTTCACCGTCCAATAACTTCTCTATCTTATGCAAACACTTTGCAGTCTGCCTTACTTATTATATTTGACTAGCGATAAACCAAGAATAGAGGATGACACTATTTAAAAATCTAGCTGAAAAATATTCTTGGAGTGTTTCACTAAAATCTCTACTATCTATACGGAATGATATAATAAAGATGCTCTTACAAAAGGGATATATCCACCACGATATGAGTGTCACAAAAAAATTAAGAAAACAAGAAAAATCAAGATCTTTGTTACAGTATTTAAAAACTACCATTGGTACTTATAATAGGTATTTTTTCTTTCTGATTTTTACTTACCATTAATTTAAGGATATTTAGTAAAATCAGGTACTATGGTAATTGCCTTTAATTTATCTTTCTATCTCACATGCACGGTGGCAGTTGGTGTGTTTATCAGGGAGGAAGCACTCAGTTGACTCTCTTTACGGCGATTTTGATCTCTTCTTTCGGTTTGTTCTATTACAATATCTAGCATCTCCATTACTCTGTTCTGATGATGAAGGTTCGTAAGCCTCTATTCCTTAGAGGTTCCTCCGACCGATGTTTTTTTAGTGGGTACTAGATCTACTGTCAGCGGTGAGTGAATTTTGCGGTCTTTAAAGTCTTGTATGGCGATGGTGTTTGCAGATGTCCCTTTCCCTTATATCTTTTCAGTGTATTTTTATATCTTTGACGGACAATGGATGATCAAAGGAAGAAGATGACCGTTTTAATCTTCAATGTACTAATATTTTTTAAGGTCATTTTGTGTCGAGCTATCCTTTCATACAAGCTATTGTTTTTCTTGATATATATCAGATACGGGATACTCTCTTTAATGTCTTTCTACAAAAGGATCTCGACGCCCACACAGGACTACCTGCCTCCACCTGCTAGCCTGTATCTCCATATCGTCGCTCTCATCCTCCTCGCCTGTGTCGAGATCAGCGATGCCACCCGCTGTTGGCTTGTACCACCTCATCCGATAAGACCTAGTCGACGCCTCGCGCTTGGCTCATGCGCCACAGTCCATCCGCCAAAGCTACCGACAGTCAACTCAGTGGTGTAGAGCAGTCACGGGCCGCTTGACTTGGGAGGTCCAGCCACCCTAACCACCATCATCTATTGCGAGAGTTCGTCGCAAAGGCATGAACCTGTCACGCTGGATGCAAAAGAGCTCACTGAGCCTGGCTCCTGGGAAACGAGTTTCATTTCCGCTTCCCGCTAGCCTAGCTCGCTGGATGCGAGGTGGCTCCTTGCTAACAATGCCATGAGTACATGCCTAGTATACATTAAGTGATATTAGTGCATTGAAGAGGTAATTAAGACCTAATAAGAAAATTTAGACATTAACTACTTTTATCTTACATATTTTATCCCACACGACGTATCCTTTGGCCACAAGAGGTCTTGCTTGTCTGTTGCATTTGTACAAAAGAACCAACGATGGATAGAATATCCTAGATACGGAAATTTCTAGATCCAGAAACACCAAATCGTGCACATTTTGGCAGGCAGTACGATGGGTATGTGTCGGTGTGATCTATCACCTGAAGGCGTGTCAAGATAGAAATCCTAAATTTTTCTTCAAGCATTTGGTTGATGAGGACGACCATTTGAAGGTATTGTTCTGGTTTGATAGTCAATCCCGCCTTGACTATGAAACTTTTGGTGATATTGTTCTCTTCGGAAGCACTTATAGATCTAATCAATATAGTTTACCCTTTATGCCTTTTGTTGGGTTTAATCACCAACGAAGCACTATTATCATTTTTTATCTAGAACTATTTCTCATGAAACAAGTGAGGCGTATGAGTGATGTTGTGAACTTTTCCTGCTGCCATGTCCCAGAAGCATTTGATATCTGTGATCACTGATGGAGTCCTTGCAATATTAGGGTGTTTGGCCAAATTCTAATAATATGATGGGCGAATGGTATATTGAACACAACATATATAGTACGTAGTTTGCATGATAATACGGTCTTAGGAAGAATTCAGGACATTTCTATATGATTATTGTTCTATATAGAAGAGCTTGAAAAGAAATGGATAGAGTTTTTAGAGATGATCGAATAAAGTT